ATGTTTTACTCTAATGATAAGAATATGTTTTGAATTAACACTCTAATTTTATGTTATGATTCATGTTGTGGATTAATAAACGTGGTTTAAGTAACATTTTAAAAATAAAATTTTTAGTCATGGTTTTTGGGTCGTTACACATGGGGTTGTCATGGCTATTTATGCCATAAGGACCCTCCAAGGTTACAGATCTGAAGATATATTGACTTGGGATGTCCAAGTCCCAAGGATCAAGCTACTTGGACCCAAAACTCCATAAAAATGACCACAAGGAGATCTATGAAACTACAAGTCAGGTATGAAGCTTGATTACCAGAAAGTGAGGAGAAAATGTTGTTGATCTTGTATATATTCCTTCCCCCTTGGGTCTTCTATCTTCCACTTGTTGCTCTAGCTTCAAAACACACCATGAAACACTCAAAACAACCAAGAAAGCTCAAGCTCACTTATGGAGGATTAGGGTTTCGGGTGTTATGCTATGGGGCGATGGAGGCTAGGGTAGAAGCCTCATAAGATGTTTAAATAGGGTGCAAACCCTCCAGTTTAGGGTTTCACCCAGACAGCTCCTACTCGCCGAGTCTGTCTTCCGACTTGCCGAGTATGTCACTTAATCCCTGACCCGGAGTCGATCCTACTCGACGAGTTGAGCCCCCAACTCGCTGAGTCCAAGAGTAAAATATGATATTTGACTTGAAATTAAATGCGTACCTGAGACCGGGTGTTACATGAATCGATGCAAGAATAAATATTTTTCATACGAATCATATGTGATTAAATAATATAATTACATGTTATTATATGTATCCAATCATATACGATTTATGTAGATGAGATTCAATGTCACATTCTTGATTCAATAATTGTTCATTGTCCATTGTAATCATATGTGATTAAATACATATGATCATATGTGATTATATGTATCTAGTCACATATGATTTATACAGACAAAAAATAATGATGTCTATATAAATCATATGTGATTAGATACATATAATCACATATGATTATATACACAAGAACAACTATTGAATCGAGACCACAAAGATAAATAGTGTCCACATATATCATGTGTGATTAAATACATATAATCACATGTGATTATATGTATCTAATTACATAGAATTTATGTGAAAAATATTTTTTTCGCGTTCTTGATTCAGTTGTTGTTCTTGTGTTCTTAATTACATGAGATTACATGTATCTAATTAGATATGATTTATATGGACAATATTCATTTTCACATTCTTGTTCAATAGTTGTTCTTGTACATGTAATCACATATGATTTCTATACAAAAGATTTATTTTCACGTTTTTGATTAAATAGTTTTTCTTTTTCCTCATTAATCATATGTGATTAATACATAAAATCACATTTGATTAAATACATAAGAAAAAATATTGAATCATGAATATTATCGATAAAAATCATATGCGATTTGATACATAAAATCACATGTGATTAAGTACATGAGTACAACTATTGAATTAAAAAAGAAATAATGAATCTTGCCCACATAAATCATATGTGATTAAATACATATAGTCACATATGATTAAATATATTAGAACAATTATTGAATTGACGCAAGAATAAATATTTTCCATAAGAATCATATGTGATTAAATAAATATAATCACATGTGATTAAATACACAAGAACAACTATTGAATCAACACGTGAAAACAAATATTGTCCATGTAAATCATATATGATTAAATACATATAATCACATGTGATTTAATTCACGATGCCAATTATTAAATCAAAAACACAAAAATAAATACGGCCCACGTAAATAATATTTTATTAAATACATATAATCACGTGTAATTATATGTATTTAATCACATATGATTTATGTGGACAATATTCATTTTTGCATTCTTGATTCACTAGTTTTTCACGTGTACTTAATCACATGTGATTATACGTATTTAATAACATATAAATCATATATGATTTGATATATATATTTATATATATATATATATATATATATATATATATATATATATATATATATATATAATCACATGTGACTGGATACTTATAATCACATGTGATTATATACACGAGATAAACTAATGAATTAAAAACACAATAACAAATCTTTATAGGTGGGGGTGGACGACAGATGATGGAGGTGGGGTAGTGATGATGGGTGTGTGGGTGGTTGCAATTGGTGGTGACAGTGATGGGTGGTGGTGTCAGGTGGTGTTAGGTGGGTCGTGATGATGGTGGTGGTGGTGATTATGGTGGGTGGTGGGTAGTGATGGGTGGTGGGTGGTGATGGGTAGTGGGTGGTGGGTGGTGGTTAGTGGTAGTGGGTAGTGATGGGTGGTGATGGCGGGTGGTGGTGGTGATGGTGGGTAGTGATGGGTGGTGGGTGGTGGTGGTGGTGGTAGGTAGTGATGGGTGGTGGTGGTGGTGGCGGTGGGTGGTGCTGGTGGTGGGTAGTGATGGGTGGTGGGTTGTGGTTGTTGGTGGCGGGTAGTTATGGTTGGTAGTGATGGGTAGTAAGTAGTGGTTGTTGTTGTTGGTGGTGGCGGTGGGTGGTGGTTGTGGTGGCAGGTGGTGGTGGGTGGTGGGTATTTTGGGTGGTGGTGATGGGTGGTAGGCAGTGGTTGTTGATAGTTGTGGCGGGCGGTGGAGGTAGGTGGTGGCGGCGGGTGGTGGTAGTTGGGTGGTGATGGTGGTGGTAGTGGTGGTGGTGGATGGTGGTTGTTGGTGGTGGTGGTGGGTGGTGATGGGGTAGTGATGGGTGGTAGGTGGTGGGTGGTGGTGGTGGTGGTGGTAGTTAGTGATGGGTGGTGGTGGCGGGTGGTGGTGGCGGGTGGTGATGGGTAGTGGTTAGTGGTGGTGGGTAGTGATGGGTGGTGGTCGCAGGTGGTGTAATGGGTGGTAGGTAGTGGTTGTGGGTGGTGGTGGCAGGCAGTGGAGATGGGTGGTGGTGGTTGGGTGGTGATGGTGGCGGCGGGTGGTGGTTGGTGGTGATGGTGGTGTTGGTTAGGTGGTGAGTGGTGTTAGTTAGTCGATTTTTTGATTGTTTGTAACTATTTTTTTATTTATATGAATATTATTTTAGAATTTTAATTAAAAAATTTGTGTAGTCCAAATTTGTTCTTAAATGTTCTCGATTGCACGCTCTCCTATATGTATATATATATATATACATGTGTGTGTGTGTGTGTGTGTATATATATATATATATATATATATATATATATATATATATATCGGAAAAGTGAATATACCCTTAAGGTATATAAGTTTAGGTACCCAAATTCGCCATACTATGTTGTTTTGTATTATATATATATATATATATATATATATATATATATATATATATATATATATATATATATATATATATACACATTGTAATTGTCCAATGTTTTTATAATTCAACTTCTAACTTGATTTACGTCAAACATTTTTGTAATTCATAGAGTAAATTACACGAATGGTCCCTATGGTTTGAGGTAATTTGCACGTTTGGTCTCTAACTTATTTTTTTAACTTGGAAGGTCCCTATTGTTTGTTATTGTTACACGATTGGTCCTTATTTTTTGTTTTTGTTACGCGTTTAGTCCCTATCTTACGTAAAAAGATAGTTATTTAAATAGGGAAAAAATTGTAGGGTGGGTAAGGTAAGGTGAGGGGATAGGGTTGGGGGTGTTTTTATTTAAATAAATTAAAAAAATCAAGAGAAAAATAGACTTTTTATGTAAGACAGGGACCAAACGTGTAACAAAAACAAACAGTAGGGACCTTCCGAGTTAGAAAAATAAGTTAGGGACCAAATATGCAAATTACCCTAAACCATAGGGACGATTCGTGTAATTTACCCTAATTCATATTTATTTTTCTCTTACATAATTTCCATTTTTAACTATAATATATATAGCCTAGTATGTGTTCGGCAAACAGATGTGATGTAAGAGGAAGGTAATAGTGAAAATTTGAAAATATTGAATATAAATCAAGGTAATGATTGAAATTTAAGAATATTAGAATGATTACAGCAAACAAAACGACGTATTATTAAGGGTTTAGATACCTAGACTTATATACCCTTCAGGGTATATATATATATATATATATATATATATATATATATATATATATATATATATATATATATAATATATATATATATATATATATATATATATATATATATATTACCGTATTTGGCTATTAGCAAGTCAAAAATCAAGGGGGCATGGCCTCCCCTGGCCCTCAAAGGCTCCGCTAATATATGTGAGAATCTGTTATGTGCTTGCTTATTTGAAAATGCCTTTGTTGGAGTACTCCTGCAATAGTCTGACACCGTTAGTTCACCTATATAAGTTGGGAGTTTCATATATTTTCTTAAAAGCTCTTTTGTCGAGAAAATTAAAAGCTCCATATATAACATGATATTAATTTAGCTAACGTCTATCATCACGTAATCAAAGTCACATCTAATCATAATGTCAATTCCAACAATATTCTTGTTAATTAGTTAAGAGATTATTAAAACTTAATAAATTCTTGAGTTATTTTAGTTATATAGGTAAGTCATCACCAAATGACCATAGTTTAATGTTAGTTAAAACTCATGTTGTACTACAAATCTTAGGTTGTAGATTTAGATTCTAAGAATAGATGCCATCTTGCGTGATTCTATATAAAAGACAAATTTTCAACGTATAAGAAATTTGTACATCTATTATACAATACATGGTATACAAAAGACTACGAAAGCAACGGGGGATTACTACACCCCCTACTATTGCTAGTAATTCACATACTAATTTTGATCTTTGTATATAAATAAATTAGTAAATTTGATCCTACGTTCGGACTCTGCAACATGGAAAATTCAAAGAAAGAATTAGTAAACGGTAAAATCTATACAGTACCTCCACGCTCAATCATTTTCAATTAATTGATCAATATATTTAACTCCCATTTGATGGTAATGTCAATGGTACATGCCAACTTGTTGTCATGAAGAAGCTTTCTTCTTTGGAGTTAGTAATCGGTTTTTCTATTTTAACATGTACTTCATGTTTCTCAATCATCCAATTCACAAATGGGTGCATCAGTAGTTCAACTACTTCTAATCATTTTCATCAAATTTTCGTTTGTAGCAGCTCAAACCAATGATTGTAAGTTCATTACCATCATATTACTTCCATCATTTTTAATTCAAGTACCTTTCTTTAATGACTCATACATCATAATTTCGAGATTATAGATATTGGACTTCACTCTATCTGTTTTGTTCGAAACTAGATTCTATTCATGAATGAAGATATGGTTTTTGGAATTCCTATTTTACTAACACTTCAAGATTTTTTCATAATTGTGTTAGCAAATTAATGGAAGATGATTTCGAGGGGAAATTCATTCGGATTTTCTTGATTACTAAGAGAAAATTGTTTTAATTTTCATGAATGAGCAGATGCATATCTTCAATCTCTCAAAAATGCTTGGAAGAACGCACCACCAAACTGGGATGATATACCCGATCCGTGTAGTGGTTGGGATGGAATCACATGCACAAACGGTTGTGTCACCTCCATGTGAGTTCTTAGACCATCTCCAACACATCTTCATTTTTTCTCTCATAAATGGAGTAAAAAAATGGAGTAAATAGTGTTTCATTTCCAACCTTACTCCATTTTTTATCCTATTTTTTACCCCAAAAAGTATATTTTTGGAATATTCCATTTTTATAACACTTATATATATATATATATATATATATATATATATATATATATATATATATATATATATTATAATATATATATATATATATTGTCAAATACACCCCTCTACTAATTAAACTCTATATTTATGATTAATTAATATAAATTAGTATACAACATGATATTATAAATATTAAATATTGCATTTAAATTATAATTATTAGATAAAATAAAGTAGAAATATATAAAATAAAAATAAGAGGGATTAAAATTAACAACCAAACTTCACCTTCATTTTTGGAGATATGAATAGTATTCCCCCATATATGGGGGAATACTATTAATATCTCCAAAAATGGAGGTGAAAATAGGGTAGGGTTGGAGAAGAATGAGAAAAAAATGGAGTATGGGGGTGGGTTGGAGATGCCCTTAGTTCTTACTCCACTATTCATCTTCAAGAATATGTAAGACCTAGCTATATAGGTCCAGAGTTACATGATCAAGTTAAAAAGTAAGATGAAAGTTATTGATCTCATGTCATTTGGTAACACCCTAGCAACGTATATACTAACTAGCCCAATAAACCCTTTGTCAACATGGTGAGAGTACTTATAAGTAGCTAACAAGTTTAAGGGCTCATAATGCGATGAAGTTATAAAGTTATAAACCTTCAACTTGAACTTCTTCCAACTCTTTTATCCATGTGGGACAAGTTATTACAAACTAACAACCATTAGGTTTCATCTCTATTTTTTCTCATATCATTTTAAATTTCAGAATTTTGTTAAGCATGAGTTTGATTGGTAGCCTTACCGGAGAAATAGAGCAGTTCTCTGAGTTGCAGATTCTGTAAGTTTTTCCTTCAAATAGCTTCATGTTTTTCTGGTAATTCTGATTACTTTCAGTGTTTTGGTCTCATAATTCCTTTCGGTATGTAGAAATCTATCTTACAATAAGCGTTTGACCGGGCCTCTACCTCCATCAATTGGGAAATTGAAGAAATTAACCAACTTGTGAGTAGTTGTTACAATTTATATGTTTTTAACAATAGACCTCAAAATCTTTTGTGCTATGTGTTTTCTATATGCACAACTGGTATACTTATTAAATAAACTGTATCTGATCGAGCACAGTGACTATCTTTGTATTAATATATATATATATATATATTATTGTTAGTGATATTACATAAATAGTATAATTTTACATGACACGTTTTTGAGTATGCTAGCATGACTTTTGTCTGAACTTGTTTATCAGAATCCTGATAGACTGCGGATTCAGCGGTCGACTTCCAGATACCCTCGGGAGTCTAGAAAATCTTGTCTCTATGTGAGCATCAATACGTTGAAATTAATAATTCGAATTCTATTAGATCATGAATTTCGGAATTGGATTTTGTAGGTCCCTCAATTCAAATTTTTTTAATGGAGTAATTCCACCTTCCATTGGTAATATCAAAAATCTTTACTGGTTGGATCTTGGCGATAATAGGCTATCTGGAAGTATACCGGTTTCTAGTGGCACGACTCCTGGTCTTGACATGCTGATTCATGCACGACACTTGTAAGTCTATTCACTACTTCAAAAATAGGCATTAGTAACGGAATAATCTGTCACTAATGCTTCAATTCTTTTGTCGCTAACAGTAGTCCATCACTATTTCTCAAATAAAAAGGCATTTTGGGATGAAAAGAATTTACTCTACTCACTTATGTATTTTCAGCCATTTTGGAGGGAACATGCTCAGTGGCAACCTTCCAGCTCAGCTCTTTAGCTCAAATATGAATCTAATTCATCTGTATGTTTCAATATGACGACAATCATTCTTGTGTAAAAACATATTATGATGATGAAAAAAACTTACATTTTGCCTTTTTTTATTTTCTGAGCAGTCTATTTGAAAATAACACGCTTAATGGCTCCATTCCTTCTACACTAGGGCTTGTTCAAACATTAGAAGTCGTGTGAGTACCCATGATGATCATATTAATTACTCGACTTTTTGTAAATCTCTATGTCTAACTTTTTAAAGGTGTATTTCATGTGATATTAGACGTCTTGATAGGAATCAGTTTTCTGGCAATGTTCCATCAAACATCAACAATCTTGCTGATGTAAATCTGATGTAAGTATCAGAAATTCATAGTCCATTTATTTAATCCAAAATTGAGTTAATGTCTGATAAATATGTTCATAGGTACTTGTCAAACAATCAATTGACTGGCCCTATGCCCGATTTAACCGGCTTGAAAGGCCTGAATTATTTGTAAGTAAAAAGAGATAAATCAATTTATTTTGTTTAAACTGATCATGATCTTGATTACAGAAAGTAATCATTAAAATTCTAACACGCAAATCTGATTCTAGGGATTTGAGCAACAACAGTTTTGACAAATGGAGCATTCCTTCTTGGTTTTCAGATATAAACTCCCTTACAAAACTGTAAATCCCTTCAACCATCTCCATTTCTCTTGTGGTAATTAATTGCAATGTGGGTATTAATTTATTTACATCTTTACATTGTTTGGCAGTAAGCTGTCCAATACAAATCTTGAAGGAGTGCTGCCCGCTGCCCTTTTCAGCCTCCCTGAATTACAGATTGTGTGAGTTAATGATTCAGTTGGTTTTTCATTTTCGGTTTTCATGGTCTTTTACTTACTGAAATCTCATGATTTGCAACGTATCGGGTTTTCATCAGTGATTTAAGTGACAACACACTAAATGGCACCTTGGATATCTTGTCTACCCATAGCAAACAACTACAACAAGTTGATTTGCAGAATAATCAAATCGTTGAATTCACTCAAAGAAGCCAATCTACTATCGAATTAATGTGAGTTTTGTAATTATAACAACTTTTAGCTAAAGTTTTTACCGAAATGAACGGGTATATGCTAATTGTCATGTTTTTTTAGCAAAGAATAGTTATATGTTTTTTGTTTTCAGAAAGAGGAAAGAAAATTTATAATTGATGAACTAAACACATATATATGGTTACAATTTATCGCAGACTTGTGGGTAATCCAATTTGTATGGAATCAGGCGTGACAAAAAAATTTTGCTCTCTTCCCGAAAATACTACTCCATCAGACTCTAGACAACCAAATAAGTGTGTGCCTATGAAGTGTAGTCATTCGCTTCAAATTATGAGTCCAAACTGCCGGTGTGCATTTCCATACACAGGCAACCTTTTCTTCCGGGCTTCTCGCTTGTCAGAGCATGGAATTTCAACTGATTACGACTCTTTACGAGATTCAATGATTAGTTCTTTTCAGATGTCTCAACTCCCCGTAGACTCTGTTGCATTCGGGAATCCTAGCAAAACGTTAGACGATTACCTTGTGATCAATCTTCATGTTTTCCCATCTGAAGGAGATGAAACGTTCGATAGGAATGGGATAAATGGAATCGGGTGGTCACTTAGTAACCAAACATTCAAGCCTCCCCCAGACTTCGGTACCTACGTCTTCAAAGGTGACGACTATGAATATTTCCTAGGTACGTAATACATCCGTATAATACCATACCAGAAGAGTAACCATTTTTAAAAAAACTAGTTTACATTTGGTCAATGATGAAAATTTATTTTGTTGTCATCTCATGGGAGCATGATCAGTGTCCGGAAAGAAGTCATCACACACTGGAATCGTTGTGGGGGCAGCCGTTGGTGGTTGTGTGCTTGTGGTGTTATTGGTAGTTGCAGGAATGTATGCTTTACGACAAAAAGGCAGAGCTGAAAGAGCAACACATGAGAGCAGCCCTTTTGGTATGATTTGTCATTATCCACTATAGCTACTTGTATAACCGGATAGATTGAAAAAATTATCTAGGGTTAATTATTTTGTTCTCGAGGAGGGTATTTATGTCTTTGCACACATAAAAGATCATCGAGTCCCTTAATAGCAATGTTTTAAAACCCGGGTTGACCCGACCAGTTTAACCAGTTGGACCGTGACCCGGGATAGAAGGAGGATCAATTGTGAACGGTTTTTTGTAAAAATACGGATCGGATCGAACCTGCCGAGTTTCCCTTAAACTGCGGTTTGACCGCTTATGTTGAACCGGTTAAAACCGGATTGATCCGTTTTAATAGGGATTGGATAGTTGTATACAAGTACCAAACGCCAAAATAACGAGACGTTTGCGGTTTCTTCAATGTTTTTCAATGTTTAAACTTTGTAGACATCAAATTATTGGTTTTATATGTTTATGCATTATGCAAGAAAGTAAAAAAATTAAAAAAAAAGACCATTGATATAGATTTAGAATGGTTGGTCCTTGATATAAATAAACTAGGAATATTACATGTGCATTCTAGAAGGGGCAGAAGGGCAAAAATGGAAAGTGGCTAGAAAGTCAGTTAGAGAGAGAGAGAGAGAGAGAGAGAGTAGAATATAGAGGGAAGAGTAATTTCATTTTGGGGATGTCGATTAGTATTGTTCAATGTTCTTGGCTCTTAGCATTTAGCTAGTGAGAGAGGGAGATTCCCTGGGATTGTTTGAGGTTCTTGCTTCATTCAATATAGTTTGTAATTCATTTCATTAGATTTAATGATATCATCTTCTTCTTCTCTGAGTCTTCCTGTTTCTCTTTATTTTCATTATCTATTGATTTCTATTTCTCATCGTTGGTCCGACCTGCCGTGACCTGCCGGAGTTGAGTAACAATGGTGCAACCAGTGGTGGAAACTAGATCTGTCTCACAGCGTCTGGTCATCATGATAACCAAATAGCAAGGATTCACGAAGACATACAGGAAATCAGGACATCTATGGCCTCAATCAGAACCGTCATGGCCTCAGAACGGGCAGAAGAGGTTGCGTTTCGTGAAGTACTGCTTGATTGGATGAAGCAACAGGATCCAAAGTTTTTCTCAGATATTAGCATTGTTTCCGATCCGACTGGGACATTACCAAAGTCGGTGGTTGATGATGCTTCTAGGGATTCGTCTGGCATAGTTAGCGGTTTCCAGTCTCATCCTACTTCCCGTGTCGTTCAGGTCGCATCGTTGGGTTTGCCTTCGGTGACATCTCCAATGATTTTGGATGAAATAGATCGTGAAAGCAACGAAATATCACCACCTGATGCAGATGAAGTATTATTGGGGGTTTATGAGTCAGAATCGGAATCCAAAACAAACCCTCGGACTCTACCGCCAAACCTAACGTCGTGCCTATTATCACCACTGCCACTAACGATCGTTGAAGAAGAAAAATATGGAAAGCCAATGGGCTTAATCTCGAATCAAGGCGGAATGAAAGAGAAGTTGACAATCCAATCCACCCTCAACCTTAACGGAAAGTATCTAAATACCTGGATTGTAGGAATGGAACAACCGGGAGATTATGAGAAGTATTTCACGGAGATTAAATTTGGAATTGAAAAAAAGGAAGCAGCAAAGCAAGTGATGATTCCAATTAGTAGACCGCCGCCATCACCACCACCACCACCCCTGCTGCCGGGAATTGACAAAAAGAACGGGGGAACGATGATGGAGTCCAAACGGAGCTCTTGGGAGAAAACGACTCCGTTTAACAACCGTTTAGAATGGGGTTATCCATGTTACCCTTCCAATGGGCTTAAAAATGACAATTGGGCTGCAATTGATTCATGGGGCTCACAATTGTTAAATCGAAAGATAGACTGGGTTTTAACGAGAAAACAAAATATAAACCCACTAGTCAATAAGGCTACTGATCAACGCTTTGTTAATTGGAATGAAAATAACCATGTTTATCCTAATCAGCTGCCATCACCTACCCCAACGCCGACAATGGCTTATGTGTTTCAATGGGATCGGAGAGTTAGATCATCGAGTCGCACGGAATGGAAGGAACGAAAGAAAAAGGACCTAAGTTTTCATGGTGGTTCTCAAGTCGGCTTGTCTCACAAATGTCATAAATGCAAAGAAGACTGCAATCACTATGCGTGGGATGCTAATCAGATACCAATTGATCAATTGTCAAAGAATGTTTTTGTGGGACCGTGTCAAATTTTGGAGTTATTTGGAGTTGTTGCTAATTCTCAATCAGGACTGAGTGATAATCAATTGGTGTTTGTGACCGAGTTATGTGTGGAGTTAATCATTCAATTAGGATGCACTTCAATTGAAGTGAAGTCATTAGTTTCTAAGTATGGTAACACTGACTTGATTTTGGTAATGGAATGGCTCACATCTTTTGGAAAAGTAATCCACAATTGGGATACAGAAGTTAGTTTATGTTCAAGCCAAATGCAGGAGCTACCATCTAGGTATATGGCAGAGTTATTACCAAAAATCTTATTTGGGAAGTGATCTGTCATTTGCTAGATCTACTCCATTGGCGTTCTAATTGGATTATGTGGACAAAACATGAGACCGATTCTACTTTCAATCAGTCCACCGAAAAGTTTACATATGAAATTGGGTATAATCGGAACACTTCAATGGTAGTTCAACATGTAGAGAATAGGGTTTGGGTACAAGCAAGGAGGGAAGAATGGCACAGCCATGATAACGGATTGAGGCCACTTACGGTAGATCAATGGATCATTCCGTGGACAGGAAGTACAATTGCAAATAACAAAAGAGAAGAAGTGTCGACTATTCATATGGTTAAGCATTACCTGGACCAACTGCATCTATTGTTAATTAGGTGGAAAGGAGGTACAGTAGGAGACAACACACTGCAGATGGATGGGCTATTAGTTGTCAAAGTCTTGAGGACAAGACTTTCTTTGAAGGAAGGAGTAATGATATAGATTTAGAATGGTTGGGCCTTGATATAAATAAACTAGGAATATTACATGTGCATTCTAGAAGGGGCAGAAGGGCAAAAATGGAAAGTGGCTAGAAAGTCAGTTAGAGAGAGAGAGAGAGAGAGAGAGAGAGAGAAAGAGAGAGAGAGAGAGAGAGAGAGAGAGAGAGAGAGAGAGTAGAATAAAGAGGGAAGAGTAATTTCATTTTGGGGCTGTCGATTAGTATTGTTCAATGTTCTTGGCTCTTAGCATTTAGCTAGTGAGAGAGGGAGATTCCCTGGGATTGTTTGAGGTTCTTGCTTCATTCAATATAGTTTGTAATTCATTTCATTAGATTTAATGATATCATATTCTTCTTCTCTGATTCTTCCTGTTTCTTTTTAGTTTCATTATCTATTAATTTCTATTTCTCATCAACCATAAACCGGGTTGACCCGTGAACCGGTCATCACATCGGGTCAACTGAAAACCCGAGTTTTAAAACATTGCTTAATAGTCCCACCATGTTCTAGCTTTTTAGGGTTGGACAAAAAATTACAATTATTGTGATGACATGAGTTTCAGTTGGAGTATAGAATATGGCGTCTAACGGTTTTTGTGTGAAACTTGTAGCATTATGGGATCCAACCACTAGTGGTGGTGTCCCTCAAGTGAAAGGAGCAAAAGCTTTCTCTTTTGAGGAACTTGGCAAATGCACAAACAATTTCTCGGAAACCAACAACATAGGAATTGGTGGATATGGAATGGTAAGCATGTGCGACATGCGTGTGTGTATATATGTGTGTGTGCATGCATATATATACATATCTAAAGAGCAAAGAAGATTAAAAATGGGATTATTGTGTGTAGGTATATAGAGGAAGTCTACCAAATGGGCAGCTGATTGCCATTAAACGGGCTAAACAGGATTCAACACAGGGGGCACTAGAGTTCAAAACTGAGATTGAGCTTCTTTCGAGAGTTCATCACAAGAATCTTGTGAGTCTTGTAGGTTTTTGTTTCGATCAAGGTGAACAGATGTTGGTCTATGAGTATATCGTCAATGGCACAGTCAAGGATAGTCTTTCAGGTACTTTCTTCTCCATTCTAACAAGCATCGCTTTTCTGGTTTGCGTTAATTAGGCTGTTATTGTATTTGTATATAGTCTATGGACTACTACAGCTCTTATGTTAGGTATATACTGTTTTTCCGTCTTTATTAACGTAATGTAAATACACTATATATTAATAATATATCAAAATCGCTCTGTTACTTATTACTTCACATTTTTTAAGTCACCTGTGAGTTGATAGACTTCAATTCTTAATTATTGCTTCACGTTGCTTAGGCTTTGTTAAACCTGAACTTGTTTTTTATATGCCTTGTCAATTTGAAACAACTCTAATACCATGTTAGGATTGAATTGAAGTCGAGTTTGATATATATATATATATTATCATTAGTATCTTTACATACCCGAGAATGAGAAAGATCAAAAAACAATATTAATTGGTATAAGCACTCACACAACCGAAAAAAAATCCCTTCAAAATAAAAACCAAATGCCATGCATGAATGGATTTTTATTTTCATATAGGGATTTAATTATTTTATCTGTTAACGACGAGAAATATTTATCATTTTTTTATGTTCTAAATAATGGTATTACTCATAGCTAGCAATGGATATTAATCCTACCGTTCTCTTGAGAATTATCTTTCTTATTTTGAACATGCTTGTAATGTTAACAATCTAAATTGCAAAAGTGATTATCAATGGACATTAACCATGCAGGAAGATCTGGAATGAGGTTAGATTGGACGAGAAGACTTCGAATAGCACTAGGAGCAGCAAAAGGGTTACAATACATGCATGATCTTGCCGATCCTCCAATTATACATAGAGATGTTAAAACAAACAATATCTTATTAGATGAACGCCTTGTCGCAAAAGTTGCTGATTTTGGCCTTTCCAAATCACTGGGCGATGCTAATAGAACTCATGTTACCACTCAAGTCAAAGGCACAATGGTCAGTAATTTTGATATTTCTAACTTTTACTTATGGACCCTATGTGTGCACTCGACCCTATGCCATTAAGTAGTGGACTAGGTCTACCTATTTTACATCTCACATATTCTCTTGGGGAGTGTTGCTTGATCTTTACAAAAGAGATCTAGTAATCCATGCAATTACTTCGTAGTCTAAACGTCTATTTTTTTGTTTGATGCAGGGTTACATGGATCCTGAGTATTACATGACACAACAGTTGACAGAAAAGAGCGATGTTTATAGCTTTGGAATCGTGTTGTTGGAACTGATAACTGCAAGGAATCCAATCGAGAGAGGGAAGCACATCGTGAGAGAAGTGAGACAAGCCATGGACAAAAGCAAAGAGTTATACAATCTTAACGAGGTCCTTGACCCGACTATTGGTTTGAGTAGTCAACTCAAAGGTATGGAAAGATTTGTTGATTTGGCATTGAGTTGTGTGGGGGAAATAGGAAGTGAAAGACCAACAATGAGTGATATTGTGAAAGAAATCGAGGGGATTATGGAACTCATGGGTCTTAACCCGCATGCTGAGTCAGCAGCAAATTCAGCAGGCTATAATGATAGAAGTCGTGGAAGTGAGCATCCCTATACTAATGATAATCTTTTTGCTTATAGTGGTCACCATTTCTCAATCAAGTTTGACCCCAAGTAGAAATGATAACCGGTTTCAGCTATTTGATGATAAAACAATTTCTTTTGTCTAAATTAACATTGTTTTGTATAACTACACGGATTTTCGAATGAAGCGTGTGAGGATTTATCCATTTATTTAAATTTGGAGTAAATTACACGAATGGTCCCTATGGTTTAGTGTAATTTACGTGTTTGGTCCCTAACTTATTTTTTTAACTTGGAAGATCCCTACTGTTTGTTTTTGTTACGCTCTTGGTCCCTGTCTTACCTAAAAAGATTATTTTGCTTTTGATTTTTTTAATTTATTTAAATAAACACCCCCCAACCCCACCCCATTCACCATATCTTACCTCCCCGACCAATTTTTTCTATTTAAATAATAGTATTTTTAGGTAAGACAGGGATCAAACGCGTTATAAAAATGAACAGTAAGGACCAAACGCGTAACAAAAGCAAATAGTAGGAACCTTCCGAAATAAAAAAATAAGTTAGGGACCAAACGTGTAAATTACCCCAAATCATAGGGACCATTTGTGTAATTTACACTTAAATTTGTTTATATTGTTATGTATATCTCGACCTTATGGAATTTTAAGCTATTGATTTTTTTTTTCTTATTGTCGAACGCATTTGTTACACTTACACCTGATATGATTAGAAGTGGCCATGCGGGTTGACTCGTTCAGATTGTTTTTTTTAATTTATAAACAACTAGTTTTATAAAAATTGTTATTCAATTAATAAGTTTGACAGTTGGGTCGTACACATAGAGAGCGGGTTGGAGCCTGCTATAGCAATCAAGTTTTTTATAGTTTATTTTTTCTAACACTATCAAGATCTCTAAAAGCAAATTTTATTACAACCTGAGATTTTTAAGTTTCTATTTTATTTTATTCAAAAATTAATTTTTATTATTTTTTTAACAGCCAAGACTTATTTATTATTAATTTTTAATTATTAATAATGATGGTTCTTTATTTTGAAATTATGCCTCAAATACCAGCAAAATAGTATTTTTAGGTAAGACAGGGACCAAACGCGTAACAAAAACAAACAGTAGAAACCTTCCGAGTTAAAAAAGTAAATTAGGAATCAAACGTGCAAATTACCCCAAACCATAGGACCGTGTAATTTACTCTTACCTTTTATGGCCGGTCAATCTTCAACTGATTGGAGGGAATGAAAAGGCTGAGTAGGAGCTGACGTATATCAGCATTGCTGCCTTTACATGAAAATTTGAAATTTTGAATTTAACTGAGAGCACGAAGATTGGAACCCAGGCCTCCCAAGCTGGCATACTTCAACAACCAATCTAAAAGGATTCTTACGTTTTATTTCCTAACTTAATATACATAACGTCTAGTCTTGGAACAATTATTATTATTATTATTATTATTATTATTATTATTATTATTAATTTTGTTGTTGTTTTGTTATTATTATTATTATTACAATTTTTCGAGCGTATTTATATATTGAAAACCGTATTTTTTATTTTTGAAAACAAATAAATCACATAAAAACGTATTTTAATGTATTTATTAGGTAAATATGTATTTATTTTTTTATAAAAACATATTGATGTATTTTATATGTATGAGAAACATTTTTATACATCTAAATATGTATACCATCGTTATTTAGATGTAAAATGTTATTTATATGTATAAAAACATTTTTTAAACATATATAAACATATAGAGATATTTTTGAATGTATTTATATGGTATTTTCATATATGTATCTATATAATATGTTTTATAAGAAATAAATATATACACACATTCTAAATACGCTATTTATACATCATTATACATAATGTATACATATAACTATGCAAAAAAAACATCTTTATACATAATGTGTTTATATATATATATATATATATATATATATATATATATATATATATATATATATATATATATATATATATATATTGAAAAAAAAACATATTTATACATAATATATACATATAAAAACAGATTAATATGCTTTTTAATTTGTAAAAAACATATTTATATGTTTATATATGTATTAAGATGTTATTTATACCTATAAAAACATTTTTATATGTATAAAAAAATTTATACATATAAAATGTAGATATTTTTAAACGTCTTTTATATGGTATTTTTATATTTTATATCTATAAATACCTATATATAGTTATTTATATTTAAAAAAGTAATCATACATATTAATATAGATATTTATATTGAAAATAATAAATGCATGTATTTAACTATCTATATTGAAAAAAAAAAAAAAAAAAAAAGAAAAACTTATGTTGATGATACAAAAAATATATGAATTTATATTGAAAATACCAAGAAAAAAATATATATTTATAGTGATAATTCAAAAAAAATACCTATTTATAATGAAAATACGAAATAATAATAATAATAATAATCAAAATCAAAATCAAAATATATTTAACTTGTTTCCGTCATATACATTATATTTATATCTTCAAGTAATAAAACAAAAGAACCAATGTAGCTCAGTTGTAACGTTCGAGTCATGTTCACTTCATTTCTCTTCTGTAGAGATTTTTTGTGAAGCCTTCCATATAAAAACACAGTCAGTAAATACATGGTTTACACGTCAGCAAAAATATCATAATCAGCGCGTACATGGTTGCCACCTTTAGAAGTAACCAGTTTAATAAAAAGAGCAAAACTAGAAAAATAAGGATTTGCCGTAAAAACGAACATAAAATTCAACTTTGGGCAAAATTGAAAAAAAAAACATGAAAACTTAAGAATTTTTATGACATTAACCCATTAAGTTATCAACATTATTGAGTACTTGATAGAATAATAATAATTCATAAAAAACACCACCATTAAAGATGATCTAATTTATGAAAATGATTATTTTATTTTCTTAATATTTATCAAAAACGTTTATGAGCTATTTATTATAAATGTTTTAAAGTAAGTTTTTTAATTAGTTAACCATAACAATAGTAAAAAATAATACTCAATCAAATAAATAATTTTTAAATTCGTTAATCATACAGTGGTTAAAAAATATCATTAAATCAAGAATTGTATTGCAAAATTTGATTACCATACATTCTTGTCTTATCATATTGTTCAAAAAACTTATAATTTTATATATCAACATAATGTAAGAATTATTATTTCGTAGTTAATGTGAATAACTATATAATATTAATATGTGCAGTGTGTAGGAATTCTCCTAGTGTCTACTATTACAAACATGCATGGGAAAATGACTCACAATTGGAGTAGGATTCAATAGTACATGATTTCATTAAGGCACGATTTCAACAAGTACCTCGATTTTAAGTCACGATGTTGGCACGGTAACCCGAATTTACTTGTAAACACGAGGATCAAATGAAACAGAAATACCCATATTTTTTTCCTAACCCTTGAGGACCCACTCGGAATGCCAATTTTGGGACGAAATTTCTTCTAACAAGAGGATGATGCGATAACTGTCAATTTTGGGTCAAACCAGGTCAAATTAACTTGTATTAGAATTTTAAAGTACCTCTCTTATTCAAAATTATTGAATAAACCCCAACTTGGGTTGGTAAAGCAAAAACTCGATAATTTAATCACATATTATTTGAGTATAAATAATCATCATAACTCCATGTGTAACAACCCAAAATTTCAATAAAAATTTTTACTTTTAAATAACAAAATCATTTCCAATGAACATGAATTACCGATCACAATTGTTTTCAAAATCCATAGCATCAAACGTTTAAGTTATAATATCAGAGTGTCCTAAATAAATCAATGGAAAGTGCATGTCGTGCCATCAAGTCGTGTCCTTGCCCTTAGGCTCTAAAGTATCTGAAACAACCAATAAACTGTAAGCTAACGCTTAGTGAGTTCCCCAGAACATATCACACACAATCCACATCATCATATAATCCATATTAGCTAGATAAGCTACATAAACCACATAAGTCATGCATACAAACATATAAGGATGCTATGGAAACCCTCCAAGGTCTTATTCCGGGATGTTGTAGGCTCCCCCTAGGGTCTTTGTAATGCTTCGTTTCTGGTATGTAATTTAATCAAATTTTTTCTTTCTTGAGGGGTACTCGACGAGTCTGTAGCCCGACTCGTCGAGTAGAAGACGGGTTGATCACGTGAGTTAAGTTGGCAACTCGGCGAGTCCATACGCTGTACTTGGCGAGTCCGCCTGTCTGGGTGAAGCCCTAATTTAAGGGTTTGCACCCTATTTAAACACACTTATACGCCCCGACCTCCCCTCCATCACTCTCAAAGCATCTCTTAACAAACCCTAGCCCCCTTTTTGAGTGTGTGAGTGATTGTTGCTTTGTGAAGGAATTATTGGAGCAAGTAGAAGAAGGAGAAGATTGAAGAGTTCAAGGAAGAGGAAGTAGATCCAGAGCACACTTAGTTGTGGTCATCTTTTTTGATAATAAATCCTCTATCTTGTTTATTGATCTAGTAGATCTTGGATGTCCCCAAAATGTTGTTTTAAACCCCAAAAACCCCAAATCCTTTATGATTAAGCCTTATGTTTGGGTCATACTTCAGATCTGGACCCTCATTGCGTTCTAGTAGTGTAAAGTTTGAGATTTGGTCGTGATTGAGGTCCCTCTTGAGCTTAGAACCCCATTAAAATCTTAGTTTTGGCATTTGAAACCTTTAAAGCCATGCATGCACATAAAGTTTGCAACTTTACATGATAAGCATACTCTAGAAGCATGGATTTGTGACTTAAAGCCGCTGCATGGCTCAAATCAGGCCTGTATGGAAAAGGGACTGAATGGACTCGGCAAGTCACAAGCTTGAATCGGCAAGTCATATGAAGATAGCCTTCGACTCGACGAGTTGGATGAGCAACTTGGCGAGTCCGATGAAGATTGCCTTAGACTCGACGAGTTGTTCTACAACTCGGCGAGTCGGATGAGTTTTTCCTAAGAAAAGTAGTGTTTGAGTGAAATGGCTTCATTCCTTCGTGGTTACACGTAAAGTCAGAAACTTTACGGGTTCAGATGGTCCCAAGGGCTCAGATCTACGAGTTAGAAGCCCTGGAATGGATTAGAATTCAATTGTATGGAATCTGCGATAGGACTCGGCGAGTTGTTCTTCGGACTCGACGAGTCGAGCTACGATTCCCCGTTTTTGTTGGATTAGTGTCTAAGTCCATAACTATTTTGATATATACTTGACCCGATGGTGCATGGTCCTTTTGGGTTGCCTTCACCAAAGCAACTTGATAGGATGAATTATGGAGA